GACTTTGTGGGGGTGCAGCCACATGAGGCACAGCTTAAAATCCACAACACCTTGCTCTGTAGAAACCTCAATTAACCTATATGATTAGCTGTGGTCATATAATACCCTTTACTAACATGTAATTTCACAGCCAGGCTGATAATAGCCCCAAAACTTAATTCAGTTTTGCTGTGTTACATATGCTGTCTGTACCTCAGTAAAAAGATGTAATTTTATTGACAAAGTTACCATGTTTTCTGTTAAAGAGTATTGATATATCCATTAAACATAGATATTTTAATGCTAATTTAGTGTATGTCTTGAATGCCCGTAAAGTTGAAAATTTTTAAATGTTTTGCATTTTATTTAATTAATTTAAACCTAAAACAAACATATTCACATTTCAGCTAATGAAAACCCAATATTTAGTTTTTGGAAATTTTGATTACACTTGACCAATAGGTATTATTCTTTTTTTTTTTGGTAATACTGATATAATACGGGATGACCATGGTATGGCCAACACAGTCATGGGAAAGACTACAGACAGTGCTTGGCATGCTTGACAAGAAGGATAATCCCCAATGTATCATTTATAAAGCTAGTAGGTGTTGTATTGAAGCATATGTATGAAAAGTTAAGTGGAAGGAAAATGTCTGATTGAAAATGTTTAACAAATAAAAGGGATAATGTCAGCTTTGAGAGGACTGTGAAACAAGTCCTATTCAAGATTATAGGATTTAGGTGCCGGGGTGGTTGGATGGGAAAACACTGTGTATCATTTTACCTTGGAATTTCAGAGTGCTTCATGCTTGCCTCAGTATTGTAGAAATGCTGATTTCATTTTTAAGTAGGACTTGATGCATTCCCATACCAGTCCCAGGTTTAATGACTGCACTGTGCTTTATAACTTACTTGATTTAAACCCCACAGAGAATCAATGGAGGCTCATCAAGAAGAAAATGAAAGACTCTAAACGCAATAATGCAAACACAGGTTTCTGTTAAAACAACCCAAGTTTCCTTAGCACTACAGCAGGGCCACAGTCTGATTGTCTCCATGCATTACTACATTCAGGTACTTATCAATGCATAAATAGGTACAACCAAATATGGAGCGCATGTACTGTAGCCTTAATCATTATGTCCACCTACATGTTTGGTTTTCATTAGCAGTAAGCCATTTTCATCACAATTAACAAAAATAAATGGTTGAAATCTACCAGATTAACCCTAATCCTTTACCACTATAAATATTATATGAACTTCACAACTTAACTTTTTAATGAAACTGATGTACATATGTTTCATTAACTGAAATCAACATATTCAATTTAAGACCACAGCTTGCACAATATGGTCCATTGCTGCCCTAGCAGAACTACAGGTTTGTGGTGTGTGTGTGTGTGTGGAGATGAAGTTTAAAGGGCACAGCCCTCTTAGCATCCACAACTAAATGTCACAGTTGTCCGTTAATGTGTCAACCAAATCAAACATGCACAGTGGTCGAGGGGTGCTAAGTGACAGGTGACCTTGGTGGCGTGATGGAAGACGTAGCTGCTGGTTGGTTTTTTTTGGAGCTCTCTGATCTGAAAGTAAGAAACCCTGTCCAGTTTTGACTCGAGATGTTCGCCTACCCAATTAGACATGAAATGGCACTGACACCCACACCCCACTTATCAAAACAGTTTGCAAGTGTGTTCATGAATTCAAATGAAATCCTTAGCTACAGATCTCAAGGCAGGGACGAATCAAAATCTTTTGGTGAATTTTGCGTTGAAGTTGATGTGTATAATCACTGTTCTGAAGGTCAAAGAAAGGTACTACCCTCTGAGAACACAAACTATCTCAACATGACTTTCAAATGTACTTTTTTGTGTTTTCATGATCTTAAGCTATTTAGCCTTTTATACCATGTCCTTTCTCGCCCCCAGTTTCCCTTTTATGTTCTTCTGTACCCCCTCTATGCCTCACAGAGGGCCCAGGTACCTTTGTGCACTGTCTGCAAGGTATCTGACCTTCCATACACACACCTGCCCCTCTCCTACATCTATTACTGGGCCCCACCGTGTTCCATAATGTTCTGAGTACTCAAGCATATAAATAAAGGTGAAGCAAAATGACTGCCCGTGTCTTGACAGAAGTGCTGAACCACAAAGAACACCTTGAAGGGCATGTTAACTGTCAATAGAGTTCTGTGTAAGCCCCTTCAATTAACATAAAACTAAACAGCTCCCCAGTTAGCCGCTATATAACCCTGCCGCTTTCTCTCCCTCACCCATTCGCTGTTTTACCCCCACGGCGTCGGATGCCGTCATGCATTCTTGCAGGTGAAAAGGCAGTAAACAACTTCTCACCATGTACTTGCGCTGAGACGGTTAAAAACCATGCATACGCATAATGGCATTTCACACGCACACACACTATAGCGAGGCTTTCTCACCGTCCTTGCAAATTACAAACCACAAGAAGCTACACACACACACACACACACCCACACACACAAATGCTCACATAAACACAAATTCGAAGAATTCCATTTACTTTGATGTTACGTGACTGAACATCTCTAGTGCTACGTAGCTCACTCATCTCTCCTAGGCTCATGGTAATACTGCATGAGATTTGCGATGCAGTAGGGAGATGAATATGGAAGGCCTGAGCTCAGATCTCCTGGTCATGCACCCTATTAGGTCCTGCTGTTGATGCTGTTGCTATCAAAGCTGAAGTAAACTGCCCTGCAGACGGCTGTATGCCGAAGCACAGAGACAGAGGCAGCCTTGTGATCACACCATACTGCTCGTAGAGACCGATCTGTCTTGTAATTAGGATGTGTGAGTAGGCCACAGGGAGGTAATTTAAGGCAAACAACAAATAAGGTACACCTTTGCTGTGTACACAAAGAGAAGGATTTCAAACCATTCGTGCATTCTTTTCAGGATTTCATCTGTAGTGAAGTATTTCATCATGCAGATTTCTATACTCAAAGCCAATCTAACAAGGATAATTTGCTTTAAAACATCTAGAAGGATAAAAATGTCCAGACAGAATGGGCTCAGAGATTCAATCCTCAATGTGCTGAATAGTCCCTAATGTGTTTGGGTTTTGAGATAACACACAGTAAATACCAGCATTCTTCAGCGCCCCACAATAAAAAACAAAACAAAACAAAAAAAAAAAACCAATGGCAGCTTTCACATTTGCTTGCCATCACATTTGGTTCCTGGGAAGACGTTATTTGTGAAGTACACAACACTGCCGCTCTGTTGTAATTGTCTGGGTTTTGCAAAAGGCCACTCATCTTTCATTCATCTGCCAACACACATACACATTTGCAAGAACTGAAACTAACATGCTTAGTTGTTGTCTTCCTGCTTTGCCATTCTTCAGTGAGACTTAGTTCTGGTGTGGATTTGCTCCCTTTGCGCCTGCAGCAAAAAGCCTGCGTCTTGCGGAGAGGGATGGCATCTGATGGCAGCAGTTCAAAGCTTGGTTCCTTTTCAGTGGGCGCTCCTGTTAAGCAAAGTAAATTGCTGGTGGAGGTTACCATCCACCTTCCGTCCTTTCTTTTTTTTCTTTTTTGTTCTGTTGCTTTCTTTATCCACACTATGTGTTTGTGCCTTGTTGCTGCACTTACTGCTTTGCTGTTAAAAAAAAAAAATAATAACGGTATAAATTAAGGAGTGGTGTTGGCTAGAAAAGCAAAAAAAAAAAAAAAAAAAAACTTTATGTAGGAAAACTAACATTTTGTTAAACTGAGACCAAAAACTAGACAGGAATATGAGAGTAGAAAGGAAGATGTGTAAACAACCGCCAAGCGAGACCAAGAGATGTTGGCGACAAAAGATTGTTCATCCTATTGCCAGTCGGCCTTATCCCTTTAGTGTAGCACGCTGGTTTTAGGTTTGTGGCGTGAAATTCTGCTAAGCATGGTCGAGAGCTACAGAACATGGAACACGGATGAGCCAGGATTAGAAATGCCCAGACACCCTCCCTTCATCTGCACCTTGTAGGGTGTCTGTGATCTGGATGGCGCTCAGAAGGGAGCACACGCCTGTCACTGTCCACAAAGCAGTTACTAGAGGTCTGCGCAGTGACATCAACACAAATCCCTGAACACCTACAATGCCACTAAGTCCCCCTCTCTTCAGGCTTCTCTTTCTATCTTTAGTATTTATCTGCCTTCTGGTCCGTACTGTGATCTCATTATATTTCCAGCCAAACTAAGCCACATTTACAACATCTAACAGAGTTCTACATTTACTTGGAAAAAAAATAAGCATCAGGAATTTAACCAGAGCTTTTTATGACCCTTACTCTTATACTTCTCAGTGAAATCCTCACTAAAACAACCATATCAGAAATTTCTTGAATTTCTGATATGTGTTTCTTGGCCTGTTTTGAAGACCAAGAAACACAACAGGTGAGTGATAGGTGCAAAGTTGCAGGGAGGCATAGAGCAGAGTTAGGTGATAAAACTACCTTTCACTACAACAAATACAATTCAGTTTATCAACCCGATATTGAAGGAGCATAAAACATCTGAAATCGTAGGGCGTCTAAAAGACTTAAAGCTGTATTTGCAAAAAGTCTGTTCTATAAAATATGGATTCAGGGGAGCAGAACACAAGCTCAAAACATACTGTTAATATTATGATTTTTAAACATATTTCAAAATAATGACATTTTCCTTCCACTTCACAAAAAATAACATCCCTAAAATATTTAGATACATTGAGACAACATGTGAATGAGTTTAATTTGTATTAGGCAATCTCAGGATTTAAGATTGGTTTTGTCTGAGTTCTTATGTGTCTGAGTTATCCTTTTTTGTCCATTTATACTGTCAGTTCTTTTTGTTACTTTCACTATCCAATTTCATATTTGCTTCCTTTGTTTATGTCCTTTAACTGTACCAAATATGTCAGATATTAATACTTTCAAATAGCACTACACACCGAGCTGGATATGTTGTTTGGATCACAATCTTTCAATGACTGTACCAGTCCTGGGTTTATATAAAGTAATGCAACCCCACAAATGGATGTTTTTTTTTTTTCTTCTACGCCCGTACTTTGTGTTTCTGTCTGTGTGCAGTGATGATTGTGCATGTCAAGGGCCCGTGCCGTCCTCATTGAGTTTTCGTCGTCTCCTCTTTTTGTCCTGTCCTTAAGGCTGGCCATGCTTGCACGAGCTTTTCATCTCCAATCGATACCTATTGAGCTGTTCATGAAAGGGAAATGACAGCTAGTTCATAACTTCCAAGGCTGATCAATAAGTACCTGCAGTAGCTCAACTCCTTCCTGAAACACTCGTCTCTGCAAGAACTCCTCCACCTACAACCACCATCTCAAAGAACAGCATTCAGGTTTGAAAAGAACACTATACTATAACTTACTTTAAATTTATGAAGTTCCCATGTGAAGGTGCCTATGATGTTTCAAAGACATCTGAATGACACAAAGATAGTTTCAATACAAAATAATCTGCTGTAATTGACCTTTTTTGAGGCACAGGGAGCCTTAAGAAGAACTATTGACTTTAATTAAGACTGTAAAGTTAATTCATGCTTGTACTTATGAAGGATAAGTCTTTGCATTGTTTTTAAAAGATCCATGGAGAGATTCAAATATTTAGAATGAATAGTGGCTGTAATGGGTTTTACTTTCATTTGGTACAAGAAAAGAGCTGCCATTTTCATTGGGTTAACTCAGATTTAGGTGGTAAAGTTCTTTGACTCGGAAGTCTTGGAAAAATAACCCCCTTTCAGATTCCCACTGTGTTTTGCCTGATATTTGCTTACATGTCCAATTTTTTTTTTCCCAATTACTTCAAGGGTGCATTGACAGCTCATCCAGAAGTTGACAAAATAACCCAGAAACACTTTTACAGTACTTCAGGCCTTACTTGCCTCAGTTTACATGAGTCAACAATATGAAAGAGACTGGGCACAAATGGCTTCCATAAGAGTTCCAAGGTCAAATCCACTGTTGACAAAATAACAACACAAAGGCACGTCTCGGATTTGCTTAAACATTTTTTTTCTAACTCAAACTTAAAGTATATAAGTGTGACAAAAAATAAAAACAATGGTAATTTGAAGTTTTTTTTTTTTTTACATTTTGAAGTGTTAAATCAGCAGCAGAATTATTGATTTTGAGCAAGTCACTGTAAACTAGATAAAACTGATCATTTGTGTTCTTACATTATTTATGTTAGTTTGTAACAGATTGATTTTTTTCTCTACTGTTTGAGCTTGAATAGTCTAAGGTTACTGTCAATAGTTTTGAGCCATATAAGGGCATTATTGCCTTGACAAAGCCAGCAGTCCTCAAAAACACACACTTTTCTCCCCTGAGTCCACGAATGTTTGACGACACGAAAGAGTGAGGAGTCTTTGAGGGGTAAACTTCGAAAGCTCATGGCCAGAAGCTAAACAGAGGAAGAAAAACCTACGTATGTGTGTGGGGCAATACATGATAAATATCTTTGCTTACGTTTTTTTAAAGATGAGAGGAGGAGGGAAAAAAAAAATCCTCCCTTGTGGAGCTTTAAATGCTGAACTTTGTCTAGGTCCAGTTGCCACCAGCCGGCAGGCAGCTGTGGCTCCGGCACTTCACTCTATCTCTGACTCCCTCTCCCTTTCTCTGATGCTTTCTCCCTCGACCTCCCGTTCAAAGCAAAGTTGGCTCCTTATTTATGTGCAAATTTGCTCATAGGCCCTACGAGGGTGGCGCGCATGCTGAATCTCTCCTTTCTGGGCTTTAGCAGATTATCCCGCTGCTCCCTTTGGTCCCTGTCGCCCTGAGCCCAGCTGCCCCGACCTTTTGTCATTGAGACTTTCTCTTCTCGCCTTGGTGTCTTTCTTTACCTCTCCCCCCTCCTCCATTCCCCTCTTTTACCATCCCGATGTACACTTCCCCCACATGCCGCAAGGCCTGAACTCCCCATTCCTCCTCCAGACGCCACAGCCGTCACCCCACCAACTCCTCCTTGTCTTCCTCCTTCCCCCTCCTTCCCTCTCTCCTGTGTCTCCTGCCTCCCTCCTTCTCTCCCTCTCAAAGGACCATTATATCGCTCTCTTCATGGACAAAGGACCCTGGAGAGACAGAAGGAGAGGGGGAAGAGAGTGAACATGGCTGGTGCTTTGCTGCTCTCTCATTCCTAATCGATGAAAGTGGCCCACGTGGAACTCTGAAGGCTAATCGATTGGTTTTTTTTTTTCCTCCTTTTTTCCCCCCCTCCCGATCTTATTTCTTGACCGTCCGTTTTGTTGCTGACTCTGACAAAACAGGATTGAAGAGCACAAAAAAGGGAGGGACTGGGAACAGGGAGGACACCATCTTTCTGGGAGCCTCCACAGTTTTTGTGTGTTGAAATGTGTGTACAGACTGAGTTTGTGCATGTTAGTGAAGCTCAGCACACAGAATAGAAAATGAAATCAACAACATAACCTCTGCTGACCCTGTCTGCATCCCTGCACCAGCCTCCCATCCCATCCCATCCCACCCAGCCCTCATGCTTGCCCCCTTTCTCCGCTGGTGCCTCCCTGCTGGGATAGGTTGCTGAGCAAACAGAAGGCAAAGAGTTGACTCCTTCTCTCTTTCAGCTCACAGTATGAGTGTATGGATGGATTTGGGAAGAATCAGCCTGTTAAGCCACTTCTTGGTATTCCTCCCCATCCTCCTTTTCTCACCTTTCCCCTCTCTCTGTCTTTTGCTGTTCTCATGCTGTCTATGCCTAGCCCCTGTCTACTCGTCCTCAAAGCACAAGCTGCGCTCAGTTTTTATTAAAATAAATGTGATCTGCAACAACTATGAGAACTACAAAAAATGTGGGATAAAATAAAACTGGGGGCCTGTCTGCACTAATGGTCATGTAGCAAAAAAAAACATTGATTTTGTGCTGAGTTTGCATCTTTTGTCCACACTAAGTTTTTGGTGCAAAAGGTTTTTATGGTCGGTTTAATTTTGAGAGAGAAGTCACAATTTGTGTAAAGGCCAACTTTACACATTGCATCCCCTGCTTTTCTACTTTGTTTCCATCAAAATTAAAATGTAGGCTAAAATATAATATAGTGGAGAGAAGAGGGTAAGCAGTGTAAAACAGAACATTAATTGTTTTTGGAAAATCCTCAGCAATGCTCTGTCTTAGCCAATGTCTTCCTTCAGAGGTATTGCCAATTCCTCTGAAGGAAACAAACTATTGGCTGTCATAAAAATTGGTAGAAGTTGCCTTACTGCCTAGTTTTCATAACTGGACAGATCCATTTAATTGGAAAGGACACTGTAGAAAAAAAACACATAGCAGAAATGACATTCAAACCTTTCTTTTATGGGCTTGGAAATGGACATAAATATGGTTAAGAGTTGTTTGTTTTTTTAAACAGATTCACTTAAGTGGTCTGAATACAAGCTAAACAGAACTGCAAAGTTTGCAAAATTATTTTGATTTCGGAAATGTTGACATTACCAACATCTCATCTTGTTGATAATCATTTTTAAGTGGACATTTTACACTCATTTTTCAACATTTGCCATATAATATCTGTCTTAAAACATATCATAAGTGGACTATACAGGGCATGAATTGTCTCAAAATATATATCAAGATCATTTTTACCCAAATTAAGAATTGATCTGTGTAATATTTAATCTTTTCTGTTATGAAAAGAAGCTTCTGATAGATCTAAATAGATAAAGAGATCAAGGCATTATTACAGATTCAGAAAAACAATATACAAACACACTGAAGTTACACAGCACCTATTTTAAGCCACTTCACTCAAAATAGACCAGACTATGTTACATTACAAAAATATATTTATGAAAAACTTAAAAAAATGTTTTATCTACTAGTAACTTTTGAAATAGAGCATACTTTACAATATATGTTTTGTTCATTGTATGTATAGTACATTTGTTCATGGTTTCTACAACTGCAGAGACAACATCATAAATACACATTTTTGTGTTCTCACTAAAAAAAAACACTCAAAAAGTGATGTCATAAAACAATCTGTGAACGCAGCTGTCTTTCTATACAACTTTGTGATTTTTTATGTGAAGAAAATAATGTAAAAAATGTATATTCCCTGAATTACAGTGAGTTGATTGATTTCCAAGAGACAAGCACAGTAAAAATTATTCACTTTCAATGCATTTTTTTACACATCATTTTAACTGGATGCTTAACAGGTTTTTTTCTAAACGCCACCAGACTGAAACAATTACGCTCAACTCTGCTACTGAAATGACAATTCGACATCCTTTTCACTTTACACCACACGACTGTTAACCCTATGTGGTAATTACCTTTCTGCAGCATCTTCACAGTCACTTTATTAGCCTCCTAACAGAGCTTTTAAAATATAAATAGCAGGCAATAAAAAGGCAATTAACCTTGCAAATGGGCATAAATGACTGTCCGGGAGATAAGGGCATTAACAGGTCCTGGTCTTAAAGAGACATGGGTGGAAGGAGAAGGAGCACATGGGAGAGAGAGGGGGGGGAAAGCAGATGGAGCCAGAGAGAATGCTGGGAGATGATGCAGCCCACAGGCGAACAGCTCCCACGAGCCGTTGTTTGTTGTGTCTGTGCTGCACTATTGTTTCAGTCCCCATTAACCTCTTGGCCTGCTGTGCGAGAGCGGGAAAGGATGGGTGGATTCAAAATGACAGACATGGCCTAGTGACATGGGAGGTGAGGGGTGGTTTTAACAGGAGCTTAGGGGCAGTGGGGACCCTTGCTGTCTCACTAAACGAGGAGCGGGAAGGACTGTGGGTGTACGAATTAGATGGTGAGAGTGTGCCTGTGTGCTTAGTTAAGGGAGGTGTATGTCTGGCTGACCACAATGGGAGGAGTTGTTTAGACTCGGATCAGCCCAAGTGATGCGATGTCTGCTGTTCTCCACAGACGGTCCAGTGCTGCGATGACACCACAGTGTTAGCAGAAACACCTGAGCTGAGAAAGCATTAAATTTACTCTGCAGAAATATTTAAAGGCTAGATTTGTTTACTTTACGCACAGAGTTTGTGCTAAATAGGCTTATTCATAGTTATACACTTTTTGAGAATTCAAAATACAAACTATTTAAACTAAACAAACGTATAATAACGCATGCAATGTTAATCTGTCTTGGTCACACGTTAGAAACATGATACTCCAACGTTAACGTCAGTCTGTTACAACGACAGAGACAAGGATACTAATTTTGACAGTTTTTAAATTGGTAAATTTAAATTGGTAAATCAGCACCACATTAAGGTTGCACTTATCAGTGTTTCTTGTGGATCTTTGTCAGCCACACTTTTTTCTGTCTTAATGTTTGGGATAAAACTCCATGAAGACCCAACGTCTTTAGAATAACCGTTGACTGCCCAATGGCTGTCTGCTAATCAGCTGTCCAATCCACAGTTTTCTTCTGAGTTCTACTGGCTGTAAGCAGTAATCACCAACTTAACATAAATTAATGTTTGTAATACAGTGTCTCTCTTTGTGTAATGAAAACATATATTTAGTTTTTTCTTCTTTGAATTTAATGACATTTTGATCAATAATTTGCTGACATGCACTTGTATTTGTATCCCTGACTTGAACTTGTTTTCTCTGAAATGTCTCTCATACAAAGAGTATTTGAGAGACAAACAGCATATCTGTCTCCTTAGAGTTTAGGTTTTAAACATACTAAAATTCTCTGGGACAACAGGCCTCTTTTTCTCAGTGTTTATGAAATACAGAGGGATTTATGTCCCTCAAGTCACTGTCTGTTGAGAGCTAAAGTAGCCCAGAATGAGTCATATGAACCTACAGAGGGCTTCTGTTGCTTTACATGGAAACACACCATTAACTGCAAACGAAGAATGCCATCCCTTCCTCCTCCCATGTGCCCAAGTATTACAGGATTGTGAGAACAGGCGAGCTAACCCCTGACAGTCTTACCTGTGCTCTAGTCAGCAGTGAGGCGATAGCTGTTTGCCACACATTGAGAGCCAGTGGGAAGAGGAAGCTGGAGGAAGGTAGCCCTAAGAGGATGAACTGTGGGATTTAGAGTCCTGTGGGTAGGGCAGAATGCCAGATGTATGAGCTGAAAGTCCTGTGGATCAGATGAAGCTGTCAAACAGAGCAACGAGATGAGAGAGCCATGGGGAGCGGGAGCTTGAAGATGGAGGCCAGGCAGAGAAGCTCGACGGATAGCAGATACAGAGAGCTTAGGCTGAGGATCAAGGTTGTTTTACAGGAAACTGTCAAAGGTGGGAAGAAAAAAGGGAGCCAAGCTTGTGTGTGTGTGTGACTTGAAAGGCAATGAGGTTAAGAAATAAAAAGTCTTACACAAAATAATTCCCACAAAGATTAGATTAAGGAAGTCAGGTTAACTCTGTCAACTCTTAATTTATATTGTGAAATGGTTCTATAAGAGGCAAACTAAACAGTTCAAGTTCCAGAAATCAGCTGCCAAAGACTGGAAGCCTTTTGAGTAACCAGACATAAGAGGTCAGGTGGGAAAGATTTCAGAGAAGACTCCATACATATATGAGCAGTTTTTCACATGTCTTTGTGTGTTTGGGCTTCACTTGCTCGCAGAGCCAGGGAAAGCTGTGTTAAATTACGCAGAAGGAGGTAGCGAGACCCTGTCAGGATGTGGTGTGGCACTGTGAAGAGAGAAGCGGATGGACATGGCACTGGTGTGTGCCCTGCGGAGTGACCTGTCAGGCCTCATGACTGCATTGTTCAACCACATGTTCACATACACACATTTCAATGGTAGCCAAGCAATTAAGTCATGAGAGGGATCCATTCATACCTTTGAAGCCATTTAAAATTGAAAGTGCAGTGTTAACAGCTAAAGTTGAAATCTGTTATGATACTTTAAGTACATTGCTGTGGTCTTGTAAGTATATGATAGGTGTTTAATTTATGAAAAAAGTGTCATCAATGTAAGCCAGAATATTTTAATTCGTTGCATCCATTCTGTTCTGGGGTTTCCCCAAACAAAAAACTGCAACACAAATGTTAGTTACTTTTTTTTTTCTTTCTTTTACAAAATTTCAATAAAATTGTCACATTTACATTAATTTCAACAAAACTATGAGTCTATTAATATCTAATTAAATCAACCATATAATTTAGACCCACTCAAAATCAATGACATGCATTTAAATTCTATTGTAGTTATGAAATGCAATTTTGGTTTGTATTGCCTTTTGGTAATAAGCTATCTATTTGAGTTCATTTGCTTTGCAGCAGTGTCTTCCTAAGCCAACATGTGATTCTGGAAAGGAACAATTATCTGTGTGAGCAGCAATTTCCCATGAACAACTGGGAGTTGATGGAAGAAGTGTGATTAGCAAGTGTTTATTTATATGTTATACCCAGACACAATTTTATTTTTGAACAGTTTTAGTCTGGCGAGTGTTGATTAATAACCGATTAGATGCCTTTTTAAGTATTTTCAGAATACTAGTTCCACCATTGGCTTTGATCTCTGGAGGCCTTTATACTAACATGTGATGCCTCTTGTTTTTTCACTAACTTTTTAGACTCAAATAACTAATATGGATTATTTATCCTCATCAAATTTGAGCAGATTGGATGCCTCTGCTCGTTAACTGGAGATTTTTTTAAAGAGCTTAAATCTGTGTCTGAAGGTCTGTTATTGTCGCTGTTTTTAGTGTGCATTTATAGTTGTACAAAACTAGCTTTATAAATACATTTGCTCTGCTTTTGTTTTTCAAGTTAAATCTATTCCAATAATTGAAACAGGAAGGTTTCCATACCCTGATTCCTTCTCTGTGCTCTTATGTCAATAGATTCCTTCTTTTCATCTTTGTCCCCTTCAAGGTCCCAAATGTTATTAAACCTTCAGCCTGATGTTTTATTGAGCTATGTGGAGCAAAAACCTTGACATAAAAAAAAGTTGCTATTTGATGACCAGACCTTGTCATTGCAGCTTTTGTTGCAGGTCAATGTCTCCAACATATAGTACAGAATAAGTGAAAATATTGCCTTATGCTAGTTTACAATTTTCAGAGTGGCCATGTAACAAATGGTTATAAGATATTCAAGTGTTGAGATACAACAACAGACTAAACTATAAACAAAGTTAGTAGTTGTCACCAACCTGACGTGCCATGCAGTTTTTCACTGACAAGGTGATTCTTTAAAAAATATTAGATGCAACAACTATAGTATAGTGTACATTATCCCTGAAAGCTTGAGTCTGGTCAGGAAGGGTTTTCTTTTCTCATTTTCCTGAATCCACCATGTTCAAACACAGATCATGCTGTGGATGAGTTTTTCCCCCCCCTTCCTTTCCCAGTTTCTTTAAATTACTCAAACCCACTCTTCCTATAAATGTACTGCCAAGAGATACTATGATTGTTATTAAAGCGTAGTAAAAGTCTTGCTCCTTGGAGGTAAAACGAAAACAAGTCTGACATGTCTCAAGGCTTTTAAAAGACTTTTGTAGCATCACATCTGAATGAGGAGACGGGAAGGACTACGAGTGAAATGTATCTTTGCTGTGGAGTGTGTTGCATCTTGGCATTTAGCATACTCTGCGACACTTCAGGGGTTACAAATCGGCTTAATAAAAGCCTAATTACTGTGAAAGGAAATTCCTCTGGCTTTAATAGAATATTAACCACAGCTTATCGCTGTCTTCTAGTCTCACTTAATTACCATGCTTTTCTGCTTTTTGCTGTTTCTAGGATGTGCGCTGATAAAACTGTTTATAATTGATTCACAGCCTTTATTTCTTAAACACTATATTATCAATCTATTGTATTTTTTTCACTACTAGAAGTCCCCTCTGTTGGATGACAAGCTAAGCAATTTCAGTTCTAGTAGACTAGATCAGAGCAAATCAAAAGGACTGTATTAGAAATATATATTTTTAGCACATAAATAATAAAAACGTCTCTGCTCTGGTATTGCAAGAGACATACGAACTCAATACTGTTGCCTAAAATAGAAAAAATGCAGTGCTCTGCAAAAGTATTTATACTCCTTGAACATTTGACTCCTTGATCTAAGCACATTCATGTATTACAATGGCCCAGTCAAAGTCCAGTCAGGAGCATTCAAAGACTTAACAATGGCTGAAACATCTTTTTAAATTTGGTTCTGACACCACCTACTGAATTGTAGTTTTCTCTGTAAATGATCGCATTGTCTTTAAACAACACCACAAATCTAAAATATTTTTTAATTAATGATTAAAAAAGTTTTTTTTTTGTTTTTCCAAAGAATTTGCACTCATATTAACATTTCATAGCTGATAAATAAGCGATGAAGAGATTTTAATAAAAGAAGCCTAGTGCCACAGGTCAACCTGAACAGTTTAGGTCTCTTGTAGATTTCACAGTATGATAGTTCCTCAAATTCATTCCTCTTCAATTACCTGTGGCCACACACAGAGACAGACATATCTGCCAGTCTTCCACACGTGGAGGCCGAGGCATTTGTCTTCAGGGCACTGGCTGACCGAACGAACGAGGCTTTGCTGTGTCCAACCCAAATGTCCGTTGACATGTCGCTCTGGCTCCTGGGGAGTATAATTCATCGTGATTGGCTAGCTCTGCTGGAAGGCATGATTCTGGCCTGTCCGGCAACGTACATCACTGTTGCCTGGGGGCTTTGTGAAAAAGGGGGTGGAAAGGCAAGCTGTTATCCTGGTTCAGTTACCACCGGTGACTCAGTCAGATGTTAGAAAGGCCTATAAATATTACTTTTTGGTAGAAAGTTTGACTCTTCAGGGATGTTCAGTCACCATTCAACTTAGACATTCCAGACTTCCAGAGTTTTGCGTTTTTGCCATGTTTTCTAACACAATTACTTCTCTCATACTTCACATACTCTCACTCACACGTGCCAACGGTGTGCACTCTAGCATGTGCTCCTCTTTTGTTTCCTGATCGTGACATAAAATGCTATGGGCTAAACTGAGGAGCACGAGGGATGCTTATCCTGATTGTGTCTTCCTCAGTACCTCCACATGCCCTGAAGACCAGAGAAGATGGCATGGGAAACTTTGCAATGTGCCATGCTTACATCATGCCTGACCCCCCTCAGCACTGCACACATACAGTGTTTTATAGTAAATATACAACTATTCTATGTTTAATTTCCTTTATAATGAGGTGCCTGTGAGATAAATTTGCAGATACTTTAGATTCCACGTTAAGCTTTAAGTGTTTTATTTGATCATTGGATAAAAAAAATGTCATTGGATGCTCTATTGTATTTTTTAGTTTTATTTTTTTTTAGTTTTTGAAGATATTTATTTTAATTGAGGTTTCTTTTTGCATTTGTCTCACCATGATCGGGGTAATAATCAAACGTGGCGTTTCCTATGTTTTAGGTAGATGTATGCCTTGGTCTCAAGCATTTTTTTTTCCCCAAAATTTGTTCTTTTTTTGTCATTTTTTATTTTACCAAGAAGTCCTTTGACAGTTTGACATCATAGTATGAAAAACAAAATAATGAAAAGGTGAAGAAAATTTCTAAAAATTCACATAAGTACCAACCCATAATACATAAATTAATAAACAAAAAAAAAACAAGAATAGAACTATTTTGGAGCATCATTTTGCTCCAGTCACCTTCTTATCAATGCTCCAAAATGTCATCCCTAACCTGTCTTGTGCGTGTGTTTTTATTATTTTTATTAATTTTTTTATCATTATGAACAACGGAGAATAAGATTTCTGATAATCTCCATATAATAATTAGGCTCAGGGTTGTAAGGATCGTGTTCTCTGCTTTATGGGTGTAGATAGCTCTGATCCACATCTCAGAGTCTATGACCTAGATTAATATTTCAACATATTCACAGAACTGCTAAATATATTAGATCATGCAAATCTTTTAAGCCAATTGGACTTTTCAAAACATTACACATTACACATATTTTTTGCCTGTTGTCATCTTTGGGAATACGTCAGAAATCCAACCAAAAATATTGAAAGCAGTTATGGTTTTGCAATAATCAGTAAGGTAATGTGAGGTGGCACTGTAAAAACAGATAAGTGAAGTAAATGCAAAAAAAAAATTAAAAGCATCCCCACAGTATGGTACTGCCACTACTATGTTTCACTTGGTATATATATAGTCCTCCGCTGGATATGCAGTGATTTCCAGCACACATAGTACTTTGCACATAGTAGTTTTTCTTTTTTTACCATGTAGGTTTAACTTTGGTCTCATCTGACGAGAGCACAGTTAGGCTTTGCGCTTATAAAAATTGATGAGAAAATGCATGAAACTTAATATTAAGCAATCTTGGAAGAAAACCAGGTAGAGGCAGGAAAAGACTTGAGACTTAAATGATGGTTCACCTTCCAGCAGAACAATAAACAAGATCATAAACAAGCTGCCAGAGCGACAGCCAAAGCTACAAGGCAATGATTTAGATCAAAGCACACCCATTTGTTAGAATGACCCAGTCAAATCCCAGACAACTTTAGCATATCCCTGTCCTATTTTATTTTTCAAATGGTAATATGTATATGGAAAAGGCCCAGGTTTAAGTACTTACAGAAATTGCATATAAAATAGTGAAAGACAGAAGGTGTAAAGAAAATTATATTGTTAAAGCTTCATAGGACTAGTAGAACTAATGCACAAGTCTGAAAAGTAACAGTTGCTCTGCATTGTAGGTGTAGCAATATTTTTTATACCATTAAACTGTGTTATTGGTAAATTCTGGATTGAAGATAACACATTTGGTTTAAAAAATACAATTAAAATATCAATTTTTTTTTCCTGCATGTCTAATCTCAGCTATGAGAGGATGATGGCTACCCAAACACAGAAATTCATATTTTAGATTCCTCGTGCCACATTTTGTTACCATGTGTCCTCTGCTAGTTAATTCCTAGTCTCCACCGTAATAATAAGCTATACCATATCATAGTGAATGTGGGGGGAGAGGGAAGTTGTTATCCTAGCACGGGGAGATGTAGAGCACAGTCGATTATCCCCTAATTAAAACAGATACCTCCCCCATGAACAATGTCCCATCTCATCTGTGGACTGTGCCGTCTTAATGTTAGGTGCTAACTGCCTTCAGCACATATGTCAGTCCTCGTTAAGGGACTGTGTCGTGTGGTAATGCCCCTGCGTTTAATGGCTTGTAAGGAATGTTAACACTCACTATTTGGCTTCCTTTTTTTCTTCTTCTGGGTGTCACAGTGAGATGACAGAAACCATGTGACTGAACTCTCATTAGGGATGTAATTGCAACCACAGAGCACCCTGGCATTTGAAACCAGATCATTTATAGAAACTAAATCACCCTCATTTTGGTCAATTTATTATGTACACCAGGCCTTGAGAACTGCCCTAATTCTTCATGGAATAGATTCTTCAAGGTGTCTGAAACGTTCCACATTTTTCTATGATAAGATTTGGTTGGCTGTGCACACATGGTGCCAATCTCCCATTCCACCACATTCAAAGTATCGAGATCTGGTCACTGTGGAGGCCAATAGAATGCACTCAACTCATTGCCATGTGCAAAAAACCAGTGTGGATATTCTGAGCTCTGTGACATGGTGCATTATCCTGCTGGAGGAACACGCCAGAGCACTACGATGATGAAGGGATCATTTTTATTGCCAAACCGAGACTCTACTCAATATGTTGCATTTTTTGGTCCAAACCTGATCAGAGTCTCTTGAAACAATTTTTCCCAAACTCAATTTGAACTTCAGTAAACTATCTTCAGCATATCTCAATGCACTGATTTGCCGTCATGTGACTAGCTTACACTATATATGCCAAAAGGTGAACTTGATAAAGTGGCCTGTGAGTGAACTAGTGAAACACTTAAATTTGCAATTAGTTCCAGTTGATTTTTCAGAGTTAGCTTCTCATCAGCCCCAGTCTAAAGTATTTAAAATGAGCAGTTATTAGTGGCCAATTGCTGAATTATTTATCAAACTTTGTTGGTGTATTAATAAAGTACATTTTGAACCCTTTCTGTAATTATTTAAAATGACCAATCGAACATGAAAGCACACGGATGAAGCTCCCGTCTCTTAACAATTAAATGTTTTCCTCTTTTGTACTTCACTTCTGCATTTATTAAGCAATAACAATGGCTTAGAAGCATAAGTTTACTCTGCCATTAGCCTGCAAAGCAGTAAAAGCAAATGAACTGTCACTTGCCATGGTGTGTGCATGTGTGCATGCGTATGTGTCTTCAACTCAGTAAGGATTCTTATAATGTCAAGAGGAGAGCTTCCTTTTTCTCTCTTCACTCAAGTCCCCCCACCCTCCTATATATGCATTCGTGTTGTATTATGAAAAAAGCAAACATGATTATTTTTGATTTCCCGTTTGCCTGAGCATTACATTTGGCCCACCCCTCTCTCCCCCGACCCTCTTGATTGAGGGCTAATGAAAAAGCTGTCCTGAGCGTCGCTCTCTCCCTGTATCCATTAAGAATAATTAGACGTGAACAATTTTGATGCCTGTAACCTCGGCGAGTGTGGCTAATGGTGTTATAAATTGCTCCTTGTCCTGGGCCCTGCAAGCATTGGCGCGCGGCGGCGGGGGTGAGACGCTTAATTCAAAAGCACTCTGTCAACAGCACTGATTTGTGTGGTTAATGAGAGCGTTTAAAACAACAGGCGCAGCTCATGCATCCTAATGCTGATGGCAGGAGCAGGTTCGATAAAGAGGCTTGTCCACCATAATTAGCCACGACAAACGCCCGGGATGAAGAAACAGGGGGCTGCACACTGCGCGCCCTCTGAGGAAAAAGCCCGACTTGCTCTTACTTTTCCTCTGACTCTCTTCTTATGTCCCTGTTGACAGCATGACTTTTCTGTCATCCATATCGATGTGAGAACTTGACTTCAGTCTTTTCTTTTATTATTCAACTTTTCTTTCATTTCTTGCTTTATAGTATGTGAACTATGTATGTTTGCAAGGCAGTCAAAAGATTTGAGACTCTCTGGGGCAGAGCTGCTGGGGAGGAAACTCATCTCACCAAATCTCACATATTTTCCTCTTAGAGATTCATCCTTCTCTGCTGATCCCCACTGCAACATTTCATCATTAAACTGCTCTTTTTATGTCCTCCTCCTTGTTTAATCCCTACTCATTCTCATCTTTGTTGTTTACAGCAAAAAAGCAGATTTCTGTTTTTGCCATTGTCCACTATGTTCCTCACTGACAGCTTTTATTGCAGCTTTTCGAACAGTGAAAGGATGAGATAGCTGCATGCCTGTGGGTAAAAAGCCTCAGGCTAGGAGGAAAAAGAAGCATAACTGCTGCAATGTGTGGAAGCTGCCTCTTTGAACTGAACTGAAGAATCACTATGATATTCAGAGACGTGAGGAGGAATCAAAGCTATTTGTTTATTTACAGCACACAGGCGTAGCTTCACAACCACTGATAGGTGACACAAGTAACAAGGATTAAATCCTCGTCATGGACTCTTTTAGTAGGCAGCATGAAAAGGTGTCTGTTTTGTTATTTTTTTTAAATTACACATAATAATGCATCTAATCAACCAAGCCAATTTTATGGACAATCTAAAAAAAAAAAAAATTATACAAGTTTGACGTGTTGACTTTGTGTTCAAATTACTCAAATTTTAAACCAATCATGCAGCAGTGGGAGGTGATGGAAGAATACATGAAGGGCCCATCACATGCTGTAAAAGAGGCAGAGGATATGCTGTTAACATTTTGGTGCCAGATGCAACAACACACCTTCAGGGCAACTGTGGTTTAGTGGAGTTTTTGACTTGACTGGTCAGGGCAATTTTGGCATCAAAATAGGGGCCAAAACAATGTAAAGATGTTTGCCTGATTGGTGTATAACAGTAACAGGAGAACAAAAAAACAAGAAAAGGAAATACATGAATAAAACAGATCTGAACTGCAACATTTGTCAGATTAGCTTTAAAGAGGCTGAAATAGGATTGGAATGGTGTAAACCTGGCTCACATTCATTCCTGCCAGTGCTTTAATATGTTTTAATCAGCTGCTTTCTGTGGCTCTCCCAAAGTACTGCGTCTGTGTTTCTGTAATAGATGCAGAGGGAGAGAGTGACAAAGCCACGTCTGCTTTAAAAGATGCTCAGTTCCCTTGTAAATGCATGCTGACAAGATTAATTGAGCATCGCAAATGGTAAACTCCGAAACCCACACCAAAAAAAAAGAAAGAAAGATGGGCACGTGCACGCAGATGCAGGTGTTGATACACTGATGAGGAGAGGAGATTAAAACCCAAACACTGATATATGCACATAAACATATACATATTGCATTCATAAACACATATTTATCTGCACACAGCTTGAAGTCCACTTCTTCATAAGCAGCACAAGCACACATGCATGTGCACGCCTGCTGGCCTCTCTCATTCTACTTCCACGTGTCTTGCCCAACACAAATGACTTGATGGGCAGTTAAATGCAGGGGTCGAGGGTTAAATGAACACCGTTGTTTATGAGGATGCGGTGTGAATCCATTTGCATTCTAATATTCTCTCTATTCTGAAGACACGCACACACATAGGGCCCGTTATGGGCAAAAGGGAGGGTGTGAGAGGACTGGAGATGACTGGTGGATGGCTTGTTTTAAAATCCCATTATCAAGTTATTTATGGAATTCATGGCCTGACAACCTCTGTGACCTTGTTTTGTTAAACATGAACCAGACACGATTCCGGCACGTGGTTCTGCCTATTAGCTTTTGTTTTCAATAGCCTTAAAATGTCAGAAACTTCAATCACCCTTTAGGCAGCTTTGCACTTGTGTGTTTTGGCCCCCATGGAACAGACACATGGGAAAATGGGCAGAATCACATTCATGAATTTACTTATGAGCATGCATGCACTCATATCTGCTGAATGTTTGTATGCAAACATGTGAACTCACATGAAAATATGGAAAAGTACACATTACAAATACACTGCATATTTAGTCCCAACAGTCGGTGTCTTTTTGGGTTGCCCCATTCAAGGATCCTAGACAGATAGTCATCCCAAACCAGACAAGACCTTAATACCTCCTGTCTGTTTTAATTTTTTTTTTTTGCTCTATGACCAGTCAACCACAAAATTCATGTAAAATGTATTTCCACTAAATTTTGTGATTATTCAATTCTCTTCAGTAGCTTAGAAAACAAAGTTAAACAACCACAAGAAGCATTCGGTTGTTTTTAGGGTGGAAAATTGTGGTCTGCTAACAAATGCATTTATTTTCACACATGCAAGTGCATCATGTTGAATACATATTAATTTGTGTGTCCATATGCTATACAATCACCTTTCATGTTATAATGACTCATTGATATTCTAGTAATATATTCCAATGAGGTCTACATTGTGTGAAAAAACTTGAAAATGTTGACCTACAACTTTTTAAACAGTTTTGCTTTAAAAGTTAACATTTTTCATGGCTGCTGTTTCAGCTGCTCACTATACTGTGTGCTCTTTAAGCTCAGAAACACAGTGGGCAGAAAAACACAATAAGTTTATTTTTCTACATTTATTGTGAAAATAATTCTAGTAAGCAAAAAAGACATAGGTTGTTTGGAAAAATCTTTTTTTTTTTTTTTTTTTTTAGATGAACATAATGTAAAATTTTGCGAGCTAAATTGCAAAATTGGTCCTGACCAGGGCTTGAAAGTGACAAAGATAATAGCATTATTGCCTTGCAGTTCCAGAGCTGGAGTCTTTTTGCTTGAAGTTTGCATATTCTCTCTGTGCACGTGTGAGTTTTCTTTTTTTTTTGTGGGTACTATGGCTTCCTTCCACAATGAAAAAAAATGAATGTTAGGTTAATTGGTTTCTTAAAAATTGCTCTGTATTACTCTGTGATGGGCTGGCCAACTGTGCTAGATGCACCATGCTTCTCAGCCAAGAGCCGCTAAGTGTAGGCCCCCAACCTGCCTGCAATCCCACTACAAGGACGTAGTGAATGGATGGATGGATAGATTTTGTTATAAAATTGGTGGGCTACTTGTCAGTATGCTCATCAGAAGATGAAACCATATGTGCTGGCCTTGGTGTATTTGCTTTAAGTTTTGTTGGTTAAAACTTATTTCACTGCTCATTATTTGCATTAAATTTCTTTAGAAAATCCTAAACTTTCACTTTACAAATATGCTTCTATTCATTCACTAAACAAAATTTCACTTTAAATCTATCACTTTTCTGGTTGCTCCACCTTTTAATTACACCATTTAGTGTAAGTCCAGCATTTTATGATTGGACCCAATTCAGTGAAGAAAAGAGGTTTTATTGTCCTAAACTGTTCTCCTTGTTTTATCTACCCACAAATCTCTTAGCTGTTGCACTGCAAAGAGCAAGTTTTTAAAGAGGGCAAAAGTAAAATCGAGCCATAAACTGCCCCAGTGAGTCTTACATTATTTAACGAGGTCCCAGCTGTGAGGCATAGTAGATTAAATCCCCCACATCCTAACATATGCCAGCTAAAAGTCTGTAACACCAGTGTGGGCCAGCGCCACCAGGCAAAAACAACAACAGTTATGCAGCCCTCATGTATTTCATGATACTTTTCCAATCCTTTGAGAGAATCAAGTCATACAAAGATGAGCATTTAGTGATCAAATATGTCAGCTCTGGGTATGCCACAGGCCTCGCTTCCCTATTCCATGTCGATCCTTAATATATGGTCTAAAAATTTAGTCAATAGTGTTAGAACTGAATAGATTTTCCTTGAGTTTTTTGTGCAGAAATTGTAGCCACACAGTTTGGACATCAACCATTCTTAAAAAAAAAAAAAAAAAAGTTAAACACATATGTATTTATTTTATTCTACAACAAAATATATTATATATATTTTTCTGTTCACAATTTTTCTGTGTTTCTCTTAAACAGGGATGTCCAAATCAAGTGTTTTATTCATGATTTTAGTTTGAGTGACTTTAGATGGTTTTCTGCCAAAATTCAGTCTAATATTTTGATTTACTTACCCACATTGCTTCAAATGTCACACACTAGAGTTGTTAAAAATAATGATCTGAAGTAGCATTATAATCTTAAATATTTTCATTAACTTTATGCAGAAAATTTTCTTAATTTTTAGAAATAAAGGCAGTTGGTGTGTGCTTATTCTGTATAATATGCTTCACTTAGTGAACTTTGTTTCTGAAATAAATGAACTCAGTTATTAAATAAGACTTTATGTACAGATATAAATAACTGCTAAATCATAGTAAAACAAATAAAAATACAATTGTAACTAAATGTTAAATGGAAAAGCATACCTGGCCAGATTTTGTACATAACTAGAATTTATTTATTTATTATTTAGTTGCTTGCCTACTCAGGGGAAACATGCTCCATGAGGAAAAAACAATATATATTTTATTCTCGATTTTTTTATTTTAAGTAACTCTTAAGAATCTGTAAGGAGCTCATTACAGTTCAGCAATAAAGAAGGAAGAAAAAGAAAAAAATGCAATTGTAACTAACTTTTTAATGTAAAGCAGTTGGTAAGATTTTGAACATCACTAGAATGTATTTATTATTTAGTTACTTGTCTGATAGGAGAAAAAGAAATGAACATAGATTTTTCTTTTAACTTGCAGATAACTCCTGAAGTCTTGAGAAGATAAATTTGTCGGACTTGGACAGGAATATGTAAAAATAAAAAAAGCCTTTTGGGGCTTCTGTATAATTTTAGTTTCAAGTTGTTCTATAAAGTTAGAGGCACTGTTTGGGTTAGCTTTCCTCAGAGGGACGATCCTTTAATTTTGGTAATGTACAGACATGCAGATGTTTAATGCAAGCAAGGTTTGCAGTGTTTTAATATTAATGAAATTCAAATATATATACAGTAGTCTGTATTGTGCTATGTAGCTGTAAGCAAACGTAAAATTGTAGTGAATAAAAACCTACATAATGACCACAACATTAGTGGTCATTTACAAAAAGCATTTCATAATACATTATTACATGGGATAAACACTTATTAAAGCAAACTTAAGACAAAAATAATGAAAATAAAACACTTCTAAATATTAACAAAAGAACAGCCATAAGTCCAAATAACATGGATATGACTCACATTAATCAGTTAATGAACTCCCTGACTCATTCTGCACTAAATTTCTACTTGGAAATCAGAATTTCCAGCTGTTCCAATTTGGGAAAAGCTGTTGCTGTTGTATTGAAAGTCCCAATTAATTTATATTTTACATTTCCTATACTCAAACTGTATGCAGTATTTAGCAAAAATACATCCTAAAATATGACTCAGTTGATGTCCTTCTGTACAACACACACAAAAACTAATGAGTCAGTTCAGCTTTAGTCTCTTTTAGTCAGGTTTTACATGAGTGATGTCTTTTCGTTTAGAAATTGCTCTGTCTCCACTCAGGCTGATCTATAATTTCCTTTGGTGATTTGAAACACTTAAAACCCCAAAACAGAAGAAATGTGTATGGGAGCAAATACTTTTTCATCCTTAACTCCAGATCAGACATTCCAACCACCACAACACACTCCACACACTTGATTATAATCTGTAGGGAAGCATGTTTCTTGATCCAAAGATGGTCAGCAGAGCCTCTTGGGCAGACAACCTGCTCTTCTTCCTCCACCCCTTATGTTAGTTGCCTCTCGGGGGAGTGCGTATTTGTGTAAGTGTGTGTGCTAGAGGTGGCAGTGCTCCCCGGTGTAGTGTTAGCCTCAGGCAGCACAAGGTAACATCAAACGATTCTTCTCTTTACAAGTTATTTATTTATTATACCCTCTCATTGTGCATGGAGTAAAGAGGAAAAGAGAGCCAGAGTTTGTATTTGAACAGGGGTGTATGCATTTGTCACCTGTGCCGCTGTGTTTTCATTCTGTCCTCAGACACCAACAGCAGTTGTAGGTGCGTCTTCCCTGGTGGTGAACAAATGAGCAAAGGAAGAGATTGGGGGGTCTCTGCAGCTCTAAATATGGGACCCCCACCAGTTTCTCCATTCGGTTTCCACTGTGTTCAAAGGATCAGGGAACCTCCCTCATTTATGGTAACCACTTTTAGAGAGCAAGCAGACAGACACCAACATGGAGACCCAAAGAAGAAATGTTTATTGGTACTGTTTTGTTATGCGAGCTACCTGCTCACCTTGAGATCACTTCATGTTTAAGTGACGCAGATTTGAAGTTGCAGTAAACGCACATGGATCCCTATGAGAAAACAAAACCTAATCATTTGACAAGGACATTTCTTCAGATTTTGCTGAGGTGGCAGTAAAAATTAAAAGCAAGCACGTGAAACTTTCTTTAACATTGTAAGCTTTTTTGCCATTTTCGCAAATCATAGAAACCTGTCGGGAACTAATTTAAAATTTTGATTTATATTTATGCACATTGAACTTTTTCACTTTTTTCACCTTGCAGGCACAAACTGTGATGTATTGTGAATTAATTTTATGTGAGAGCAACACAAAGTAGGGCATAGCTGTAAACTGAAAGGAAAATAATCATTGTGTTTTACGGTTTTACAAATATAAAGAGTGTGGCGTGTCATTATTTGCTCAACATTTATACTGCAAAGCTGCAAGTCTTATGGAGTTGGTGTTTACCAGCTTTGCACATCTTGATAACATTTTTGAACATTGTCATTGCAACATTTCTCAAATTCTGTCAGACCAGATCTGGATGAAAACTAAATATCAAGTCTTGCCACAAAATGTAGCAAAATGTAACTTTGTCAAGACCTGAAAAACATTGAAACCAGTTATTAGCAGCACGGGATGTAAGCTTAGGGTCTCTATCCTGCTGAATCTTCGCCCAATTCCAAATCTTTTGCAGGCTAACAGGTTTTCCTGCATCTATCTTCCCACAAACTTTATAAACATTCCTGTCTGTGCTGCAAAAAAAACATCACTTCAACACGTTTCTCAGTCAGGATTGAATGTTCAGAGTGATGAGTGTTATTTTATTTTCCACAAGCAACTCCATCCCTTCTTGGTCAGGTGGTCCCATGTAAATAAGTCAGCTTCTTCCACATGTTTGCTCTTTGCCACTCTTCCAGCGTTACTATGGTATTCCTAGCAGACTTGGAAATTAATGAAATGCTTGCATGGCCATCAGTTTCACTCTATCCTTGTAGGTTCAGAGTTGTGCCATTTATTGGTAACGTAAGTAAGTATCTGAGGCTGTTGTAGTACAGCTGTATATTTTATTTAGATTGATTTGGATTTTGGACTTTTTGTCATTTGATAATTGATTTTGATTTTTGATAATTAGCGTCCCTTCTCAAATAATTGCTTGCACTAGGTTTTATTTTAGAGCATTAGAGTAAAAGGGGTTCAATGAGCTTCCCTGTTTTGATTTTTTTATTGGTGAAAATTTTGAAAAACTGAGTCATTTTCTCTCCCTGTCAAGATGAACTACTTTGAGTTTGTCTATCACCTGTAGACACAATAAACAATGCTGATGTTTGTGGGTGTGCTGTGAGAAAATGTAAAGCAAATTCAAATGGTATGGACAATTTTATAACGTGCTGTATTTGGGCAGGTCTACTCGTTTTGCTAGCAGATGTCCGAATAATCCAGAGAGCCGAGGAAAAACCACAACTCTTACCTACTTCACCTTTTGATTAATGAACACCAACTACCGGCTAAGTCTCTTGCTATGAAACAAAATCACCCAGATAAAATGGTTGGACGGGAAACGTTATGTCACAGTGCTTCGTCCCAACACCTCCTCCTCTCAAATGATATTCCAAATGAATATCCAACCTCGCCCTCCACAAAGTGCATTAGGAAAAAAGTCATTAGTGGAAATGGGCTTGAGGTGCTTCTCCAAGAAGTGGGTGTCTGTGCATGAGGTGGTGTGTAATGCAGATGGGGAGGCTTTTGTCTTTCCTGCCCGTTGTTTGGCTTGCCCACCTAATCCTCTCCCTGCACACTTCTACGTCCATCGAGTTGGTGAATTTGCACCCCTCCCTTTCACCATTCCTGTGGAGAAGACAGGGTGCCCCCTGCCCCTTGTTCTCTCCTGCTGCAAAAGGGAAGTGCATCCTCATTCAATAATGTATCAGAGAGAAGACAGAGGATGGGAGAGAGCTCTGACCCAGACGAATGCAGTCTCTCCATTATTTAGCATTTACAGACACCTTGCAGCTCATTTCTGACTCAATATTTAATATAATAGTATGAGCGGGAGAGCATTTTCTAATATCCACAGCTTGTTTATATTTTGGACAAACAAAAATAGAAAGTTTATAGAAATTTAGAGAAGTCAAAAATAGGGTTACATGTGTACAAATGGGGATTACATGTGTACGGGTAAACTGATGTAGACTGTGACTTTGATATGATGTCAGCCAAAATATTACATTAAGGCTTTCAGACCTCCACACACACATGCACACAGGCATTCAATTTCACTGTGATGACATAAGACTTAGAGTGGTATGACATTTTCCATGCACATTGTGCCATGTTATATCAATATGTAACTATGTCATTTGTTGTAAAAACTTTGTGTGTATCAAACATAACCTAAGATAAATTTGACTGTATAATTTGCTTGAGAAGTAGTTTGTATGAAAACCTCAGCAGTTTCACCAGGTGTTTGCTAATTGCTGCTTCTGCTAGGTGTGGCTTTGTGGGGAAGGCATGGAGGAGGGGTGCTCTGTGGGGCAGAGGTTAATCTGGAGGCCTAAACTCCAAGGAGGAGCTTTGGGTAAATAGGCGGTGCTTTGTATAAGCAAGCTTATAGGCATTCTCGAATGGCTGCCACGGGGAATTCAAGGATTCCTCGAACATGCTTGAAAGAATCAAAGCAACACTCCAGATATGTTATTGATAAGGTGATAACATTAGCGCATGATATGCAACAAAAAAAAAACACTGCCCTTTAAGTACAACCTGCTCTAAACTCTAATGCTTCTAACATTCTTGAGCAGCAAATAGTTGCACACATTTTGGGAGCCAGTAAGAATTAGCAGTTTTTTTCACCCACTTTTGTGAACTGTTGTTCTCAGTTTTAGTGTCCCTATTAAACCATTTGTGCAATGACTGCACAAAAATCCGTTTTGACAAGACACAAGTCTGTGTGCAGTGTTAAACAAGCGATGTCATTCACCTTATGATTTAGTTGTTCTTATTCCCAGTTCCAAACCCTTCAGCCTCTTATTGTCCCCCCATATCAACAAGCCTGAACACAGCTGAAGTAAGATATCTTTCTGTTGGCCAGCATTGCTGTTAGATGGGTTTAGAAAAGGAGGGACAAATCGAAACCAGAAGTGGTTAAACCAGAAAAGTTTCTGTGCCTTCAGCAAAAACTAAAAGGATGCAGAAAACGCACATCGTGACACTCTGGAGCAATCAATGCAACTGCCAAAAGAACTGACTTTTGCTTTGGAAATAGACCAGAAACACAGTGTAATTTTGTGCACGCACACACACACCCACACACACACACACACACACACACACACACACATATATATATATATATATATATATATATATATATATATATATATATATATATATATATATATATATATATATTTGAAAGAGGTCCTGGAATATAATTTGCCTAAAGCAGGGCATTTTATATGAAGTGCAATGCATATACAAAGTAGTTTTATTACAAATGATGAAATTCTACAAATTAAATAATTTTATATTTTTAGTCTGTGTTTTAATTGCATCAACCAAGCACGGGTGCGTAAAAATGATATATTTTAACCTGGCAGAAACGTCCTTCCATGCGTCATAAGATGGTGGCAATTGAAAAGAAGCAGGTGATGAAAGCTTCTTGTATGGAAATATCTGCTGTCGGCTTGTCAGGACTCACCTCTGTCCATGTGGAAGCACAGACGGAATGATTTGGGAAGAATTGTGACGAAGGGTGTTTTCTGACGCCAAGCAACATCTAGATAGAAACTGGATCCAAGCGATGATTTTATTTTTTCTGCCACTTATGCTTTTTTAGTTTTGTAAAATAATGTACTAATTACTCACATAAGATGTTTTTTCCCTGAGTTTCACTTTTCTCAACTTTCCCTTTCGAGTTATTTTGTAACACAACAGCAAAACAGTCCTAGAATTATCGAGTTATATCACTCTGTGGAAAAAGCTCCTAAGGCAGTGTCATTTTTCAACTTGTATAAAATACCTTTGTTGGCAGATATTATATAAATTACACATACAACATTTGACATACTCTGCTTTTATGGTTCCAAGCGTTTCCCCTTTCTAAAAGAAGACATGTGGCTTTTGTATTGTGTGTGTTTATGTGAATCTTCTGTTTCTGTCAGAAGATTTTCCCCAAGCAGAAAATGTACTACTTCAAAAATTAATAATGCTAGTGATCGAGGATGAAAACACAAAGCAACAAAGGGTCAAGAAAAAGACTTAAAAATTAACTCACCCCATGGCATCTCATGGTCACTCTGGATTGTGTTTGGATGTGTGTGTGTGTTTGGTGGGATTTTAGGAGTACTTCAATACTTGGCCAAGCTAAACTAGGCCTAATTTTTTCTCATATTTTTTTTATTTATTTATTTTTGCGTTTGCATTTCTTAAGTGTGAATGAAGTAAATCTTAAACAAGTTATTTAGAATACTTTTATTTGGCAAAAAAATATCATGAGAGCACATTATATTTTGGAGAAAACCTGAGTCATCGCGTCCTTGATTGACAAACCACAAATAATAAATATCCAACCGCTTTCAGTTTAGGCCTTCCTATTTTTGCTCAGGTTCTCCTCTGCAAAATTAGTCTGATGATTAAACCCTTACTCACTGCTACCGCTCATTATTATTGATAAACATGCACATGTTTTGAAATATTCGAAGGGCAAAGTTTTGGGGAGAACTGTAATTGATTAAATAACTTGATAATTAGTGGGACCTGGTACTGAGAGATGACATAAGAATTAAACCCCTTTCTTACCTGGTCAACTTTAGGCTCTAATAGTTCTTGGAATCGTGTTTGTGGTCTGACTGTTGGTTCACTTCTTAATCTATTGGCAGTAACTGTGGCAAAACCTGTGTTGTGCTCTCTTCTGTCACTTTGTGTGGCGCCTTTTCTAATTCCGAGATCCATTTTTTTTTTTTTTTTGTAACCCTGGAGGAAAAATGTTTTCAACAAAGAGGCTCGCCCATGTTTCCAGAATAAATGTTTGTAACAAGTCTTTACTAGATCTGTTTCCATCAT